TCTCCAAAAAAAAATCTGAAAATCTGCCAAAATCTTCAAATTTTTGGACGATTTTTGCGGCGATTTTCCTGTGAATTCCGACCACCAAACCGGCTAATTTTGGGTGGTAATTGAAGAGGAGATTGTAGTATTTCCAACAGTATCAAAATTCGGCAAAATTGATGGTCGGAAGTTGCCGAAAAATTGCCACAAAAGTCGCCCAAAAAACTGAAAAATTTGCCCAAATTTTCGCCTTTCCGAGTAGCCAACTTTGTGGGTTTATTCCGGTAGAATCTATTGGATTTTGGGGGATATTTTTCATAGTAATTGAAGAGGACATTGTAGGCTTTCCAACGGTATCAAAATCTGATGGTATTGGTGGCCGAAAGTTGCCAGAAAGTTGCCTCAAAGTAGCCCATAAAATCTGAAAAATCTGCCTAGATTTTCGCCTTTTCGGGTAGTCAAATTTGTGGGTTTATTTCGGTGGAATTCTTTGGAGTTTGGGGGAGATTTTTGATGATAATTGAAGAGGACATTGTAAACTTTTCAATGGTATCAAAAGCCAGTGGCATTGATGGTCGGAAGTTATCGAAAAATTGCCTCAAAAGTAGCCTAAAAAATCATCCCACATTTTCGCCTTTTTAGGTAGCCAATTTTGTGGGTTTATTCTGGTCAAATCCTTTGGAGTTTGGGGGATATTTTGGATCGTAATTTAAGAGGACATTGTGGGCTTTCCAACGGTATTAAAATTCGGCAATTTTGGTGCTCGGAAGTTGTCGAAAAATCGCCACAAAATTGGCGCAAAATATCTGAAAATCTAGATAGATTTTTCAATTTTTTGGGCGAATTTTGCCACAATTTTCTAGTCGAATCCCTTGGAACTATGGGGAGATTTTGGGTGGTAATTGAAGAGGACATTGTGGTCTTTCCAATAGTATCAAAATTTGACGGTATCGGTGATAGGAAGTGGCCAAAAAATTACTGCAAAAGTAGCCCAAAAAACTGAAATTTCAGTGACCATTTCTGAAAGTTTTTAAACTTCAGTGACCATTTTTTAAAGCACCTGGAAACTTAAGTGACCGTTACTAAAAGTTTTAAATTTCAGTGACCGTTTTGTAATTTTTGCCTAAGTTCAGTGACCATTTGTGAAATTAACCCAATTTATATGCGGTCCAAATTTACGTCTAAGACTTGCTTGTTTATCGAGAAAATATTGGAATCATTCCAGCTAATAGCTATCCAAAATTTGAAATGGAAGACTTTATATTCAGTTAAACGGATGTGGCTAATTTCGATGCTTATAATAAGAATTTAAATGCCAACATTTTGTATCATAATAGTTAATTGTCATATTTAACAGTAAACACAAGAACTAAAATGCTCGATATATTTCAAGAACTCTAATGTCTAATCAAGAATTGTTATAAATAGCCTCCCGGGGCACAGTTCAATTGGTGGATCAATCAATATTGGCTTGCTTCCAGCGGCAGGGTGGAGAGTTCGATTCCTGGTGGGAACCTACGGCCAAAAAAATTTGGTATGGAGCAATCACTATGGAGGAGTGTCTCTTGTGCGCAGAAATGTACAGTCAATGGGGAGAACTTGTGATCCAGTTGAGGCATATCCCGCGATTTACCCCCTCCAAAGTTCTAGGGACATGGGTCTTGGAGGTCCAGGATTTAGTCTGGTAAGTTGGGATACTTGGATATCAAAAATAAATAAATAAATAAATAAAAGAATTGTTATAAATATATTTAGGAGGAAGAAGAGAGTGAAACATCAAACAAATACCAAAGAAGAACTTCTGACCACATCGTGAGAACACTATCCCAAAATATCATTCTTGATGTTGTTTATGAACACATTATCAAATAAACTTGAGGACTTGACAAGTCTTACTGAATCTACATCGAGCAAAGATGAAAATTCATAAATGAGCAACAAAAACACTATAACCTGAATTCTTAGGATTCTAAGAGGAAACATATAGAAGGCAAAAAGCTACAATACACAATTGTATCATCTTTGAGTTTACAAAAAACTTTCGGGATGAAAAATTCGAGACTATATTGTAAAAGTAATACAATTTCATTCGATCAACCTCACCAAGCAAGTTCCATGAATTTTCATTCATTAAACAAATAATATGAACAATTTTTTTAATATTCAAAAGCTGGAAACCTGCACTAAAAATAAAAATAAAACAAATAATAATAAAACATAGAAGGCTCAGATACGCATTTTTTCATCCGAATATTAGACGTACGTGAAGACACCCCGTCGCCACTTACATGCGAATTAATCTGCCACTAAACTGCTCGTGCGACTGTGGTTTTTCTTAAATATTTATATAATATCTTATGTTATTCTTAAAGTTCTCTCGTTTTCTACTAGACGTGCCAGTGTCCAAACTCTCGAATTATGATTACATTATGTTACCTTTTATTTTTGGAAAAAAATTCTGGTTATATATAATTGAGTCGCTTTCAAATCTTGATAAGACAGAGGCAACAAAGTTTTTATCGTAGTTACCAAGCTCAACCTGAAAATCAATCGAGTCAAGGAACTAGGTCATTGATCACTAGTTGAACTGATGAATCAGTGGCAAGACCAGTGTCATTATTTAAAAAAATAATTTTAAAAAATTAAAGTATAAAATTTTCTTTGATACAAAATTAATGCTTTTAAGATATTTCTCACTAATTGATAACGCTCAAAATACAGTGCAGGTACTACAATATAGATTAAAGTTTCGATCAACAAAGAAGTGCTTAACAAAACAGAATAGCAATAATAATGGTTCGTTTGAGATGACTTTTGCTTTTAATTTGCCTTTTGTAAAAGAGCTTTTGAAGGAAGTTATTTTAAATTTTGTTTGAAAACTGTTTTTAATCGAAATATATAACATTTTAATTACATTAAAAGGTCATTAATCTTTCTTCATTATCACATTAACATGTCTTAATTTTTTATTTTTTTCTTTATATAAAAATATGAAAAATAAATAAATAAAGTTTCTTTCTTCATTATCACATTAACATGTCTTAATTTTTTATTTTTTTCTTTATATAAAAATATGAAAAATAAATAAAATTTTAATTTCATTTTAACTTTTGGACAGAAAGTGTCATAAGGACACTTTTTGTTGAGGGACATAAATTTGATAGTAATCAAGGTTATGGACCTTTGTTGCAATTATATGTAACAACAAAAAAAGCTGAATAAACGCTAGAAGGAGGGCTTGAACCTCCGACCTTGTGGTTAACAGCCACACGCTCTAACCAACTGAGCTATTCCAGCTTGATGATAGGCTTTTTGTTTATTTTATATTTGTTTATAATCTGGAACCGGCAGCATCAATAGGGTTTGTAGCGAGGGGGGATTAGGGCTCTCGCCCCATTTACGTACCTGCATAATTTTTGTTTTTATTTCTTATTTTTAATAATTTATTTTATTATTCTCGTTCATTCAAGTGAGACAATAATATAGTTATTAAAATTTTTAATTAATTTATTTATTTTTAAAAGTTAAATTATTCAAATATATTTTGTAAACTAAGGTTTTTATTGTTCATCATATTTCTTAGATATTCTTAGTTGTCATCTTCTATTAGGATTAAATGAATTTCATGAAATTTTTTCATTTAAAGTATTGAATTCTTAAAAAAATAAACAAGAACTTGGCGAGGCCCTGTTACCCGCCTTATACTTGACACAATTATTCAATTAAACGAGTGAACGGGATGGGGCCTCGGTGATATTGGGCTTGCAGAATTTTTTTGCCATCCCTAAACAAGGAGGACTAACCTGGAGGAGATGTTTGTATTTGAAATCCAATAAAACCTTTTCATAATAATAATGCTATTTAGTTTCATTGGAGTTGTAACCCCAATTTTGGTGGCGTCGATATGACATTAAATGATAAGTGAAATTAAATTACTCATTTAATTTCATATTTTATTTAATCTATCATCTAGCACCATAGCATTATTCTTTTCATTACAATTTGAAATCCCGAACTCATAAGATATTCAAATCTCGGACCCAAAAGTCAGCCACGCTCAATAACTCCTTTTTCCATCCATGAAAAAGATAGTTATGAAAGGGTTTTAAGACTCTAACTGCTCTCTTTTCCCAAGTAAGCCCTTTTGGAAGTTTGTCTCGCCACTGTTCAGCTTCAGTTTGTCATGAACTGTCGTCGGCATTGAGTTATCGTGAGCCCTCTCTCCTCTCTGTCTCCCTCTCTCATTCCTTGTTTCAATCCATTTTTATATCATTTTTCCTTTAGAACTTGAAGTTATATTTTATATATATTTATGGTGATTTAGTATTGTGATTTGTGAATTGTGACGAATGATATTTATTAAAATTGTAATAAGGCAAATTGGCATTATTGTCTCGTTGGTGTTCAAAATTGGAAATTGTTGTTAAAATTAAGTTTCTAAAATTTACTTTAATTCTTCATACAAGTTATGGAGCAGATTTTTCAACCTAAACAAAAGTCACAATTCTAGTGGTGCATCTAGTTCCTCCACTTCTTATAGTTGATCACACAGTTGTTAGCCATTGATAATACAAAAATGTCTCAGGCTCAATACAACATGGATAATGTTATGTCTGATCTAGGGAAATGTTCTCCTGTTGATTTATATGATCCTAATATCAGAGATGATATTACGATGGCATACTTAGAGAAAGGTCCTTGTTAACCATATGGACATGTCTTTCCAAGAAGACCGATAGGAAATAATAATTGGTGTTTTAGAAAAGATTGATTTTCTGAATTTTATTGGTTGGAGTATAGTATAGGAAATGATGAAGCTAATTGTTTGTATTGCTACTTGTTCAAACCTGATAGAGGGGGTTAAGTGAATGGACATGCATTCACTAAGATTGTCTTTAGGAATTGGAAAAGCAAAAATTCTTTGAAAGATTATATTGGTCTCTTTGATAGTGCTCATAATCAAACTTTCACTAAGTGTACCAACTTGATGAATCAAAAACCAACAAAAAAGTTATAGGATGAGATTGACCGCGGTGCTAAATTGTACTAGATTCTTCTTGATGCAAGGATTGGCTTTCCATGGTCATAATGAGTCAAAAGAGTCAGTTAATGGAAGAAATCTAATATACTGGTATGTAGCTATTTGTGAGGAAGTCAAGGACATAGTATTTAGTAATATTCCTGGAAATGAACAATTGATTTCACAAAAAATCCAAAAGGATTTGGTTAACTATTGTATTGTGGAGGCAACAAGGGCTATTATGAAGGAGATAAGAGATTTTTTGTTTTCAATCTTGGTTGATGAGTTTCATGAAAATTCTGTGAGAAAACAAATGACAGTTGTTTTGAGGTTTGTGGACAAAAGTGGACAAGTAAAGGAGCATTTTTTGCTCATTTCCCATGTCACTGATACTTGTGCCTAGTCATTCGAGGATGCTAGTGATGCAATATTTTCTACACATAGGTTGAGTATATCTAGTTTGAGAGGTCAAGGTTTTGATGGAGCAAGCAATATGTCAAGTGAGTTCAATAGGTTGAAAGCTTTGATTTTAAAGGAGAACCCCTATGCTTTGTATGTTCATTGCTTTGCTCACCAACTTCTGTTGGCATTTATTTTTGTGGCACGTAGAAATGATATGTTTGGCGATATATTTAACATGCTTATTATTATTATTGTGAATTTGGTTGGTGCATCATATTAGGGTGTAGATGATCTTCAATCAAGTTATCATTCTGAGTTTCCAATGAAACTTGATATTGGAGAACTTTGTTGTGGCAGTGATAGGTTATTAGTATGTTTAACACTATCATAGATATTCTTGAGAATATATCAGAAGATGGCATAAATTCATAGCAGAGATCAATGGCCACAAGACAGAGGAGCACTATGCAAAATTGTGAGTTTGTGTTTTTTCTTCACTTTATATTTGAAATTTTTACAATTACAGATGATCTTTTACAAGCTCTACAGAAAAAGGATCAGAATATTCAGAATGCTATGGCATTATTAGATTTGTGCAAAGTTGTATTGCAGAACATGGGGGACAATGGCTGGGATAATTTGTTGAGTCGGTTGATTTGAGTCTTGTGTTGGTAAACATATCGTAGCGCCCAACATGGAGGATATTATAGTATTGAGAGGTTGAACTAGGTGTGGAGCTCAGCAGGCAACCTATTATCATTGCTTTTATATTGATTTGTATTACTATGTGATAGACTCAATATTACAAGATTGAATGATTGTTTTTCAGAGACAACTACTGAACTTCTTACTTTCATTTCATGTTTGAGTCTAAGAGCCTCGTTTGCAGCTTTTGATAGGGCTAAGTTGCTACGTCTTGCTAAGTTCTATCCTTCAGACTTCACTACTGAAGAGCTTATATTACTCAGACCTCAACTTGATAAGTTTCTTGAACTTGTGAAAAGGGACAAAGCTTTCTATAATTTCAATAGTATATCTTGAGTAGCTCAAAAGTTGGTCGAAACAAGATGTTTTTGTTATTTTCCATTACTTTATAGGCTCATCACATTAGTTTTGATATTACCTTTGGCAAATGCAAGTGTTTTAAAGGCATTCTCTGCTATGAATCTAATCAAAGGTTACTTGTACAATAAAATGGAAAATGACTAGTTGAATGACAATTTGATGGTGTACATAGAGTGAGAGATTTTTAAAAAATTGAGAATGAGGCAATCTTACATCGCGTTCAAAATATGAGACTCTGATGAATGCAATTGTCTGGGCTTACAGTTACCGAATGATGTTTTATCATGTAATTTTTATTATTATTTTGGGTTGTATTGAATTATATTTTCATATGTATATGATTTTTAAGTTTTAGTACATTAATAATTTTTAATATTATTTAATAAAATATTAATAAACGACTTCGTTTTTAAAATCGTTGACGGTCGACGGCCAACTGTCAACAGCCAACAATCGCCCTAGTTCCCAACTAGGGATATCAAATTGATTCGTTGGCTTGGACCGTCCATGACTTGGTCCGAAAAAAGTCCAAGTCGGCCCGGCTTGAGGCTCAATGAATCTTGGGGTGTTGGGTTGAGCCTCTGGCTCAAAAAAATAGCAGCAAAGGCAGCTGCACATAAAGGGAAAAAATTTGAGCCTGCTCAACTCTGTAAGGTCCGAGCCGAAAGCTCGAGTCGAGGCTCTATTTTTTGGTTGAGTTTTTGCTCGGTTCGGGCAAAAAAAAGCCCAACTTAAAAAGGCTCAGTGAGGCCGAGGCTCGAGTTTCAGCTCGCGAGCCGACTCGACTCGACTCATCTCGTTAACACCCCTACTCCCCACATTCCTAGATCCACCACTGAACTACATAAGTGAATTTTTAAATGTGGAAGTTAGGCACTTTTGTTCATAACTCCTCATTGTAACTAGGCACTAAAACTCTTTAAAGTATGTCCTATGACTTCAATTTCTTCATATCAAT